AAAAAAAAAAAAAAAATCTACCGAAACATACGAAACCGTGTAGATGGTCATTTTAAAGGATGTTCAAATGTCATACGTGTTTAATGTTAATAAAACTATAATGGCAAGAAAAATTAAAAAACAGTTTATCGACTATTTTAATGACTCAAAATGACATTAGCACCTGTAATCGGAGGAAGTGAAAGGCAAGGATTTAGGAAACATTCGCTGTGTTCTGAAAAAAAAGAACAAATTATACAAAGCCTTCAAAATTGTTGTTGTTGTTTGTAAAAGCCTGGCCTTCTCCAAGGGGACCTTCTGAGATTGCCTATGCAGTATTTCTAATTTCTTCTAGAGAATGACAAACCTCCTTAATTTAAATCGGGTGCAATTTACCACTGTAAAGGCATGCATCAGAACATTCAGGAACAGCCCAGTTAATATCAAACACTCACACACACCCCTTCCTCCTCCCGCGGCCCCTTCCTCATCCCTACACACAGACACACACAAAATAAGCAGACTGCATACGTCCCGCATAGGCATGCCTACCTCCCTCCTGTTACAGGCTCTCCAGTTATTTTAAAACACATTCCACTAGAATTACAATGTGCTTTTCATGCAACAATGAATGTTACTAGCTTTAAAAGGGCAGTCATGAAGCAATTAATTAAAATGCATAAACAAAAAAGGCTGGCTAAGATGGGTTCCCCCACATCTTCCTGGCCTTGAGTCTCTCCTGCCTCCCCCAGAGAGAAACCTAACGTTAAAGAGTGGTCCTCGTAAGTACCGTTCCTTCCTCCTTCCTCCTCGTTCTAACTTACCATTGGTCTCTCCTGGCTGCTTGTCCCTTTTCCTCTTCTTCTTCTTCCCCTGGATGAAGAGATGAAATGCAAGCAATTATTTCAGGAAACAGACGGGAGAGGGCATCTGGGTTCCCCTGGAAGGCAGGCAGAAAGAGGGGAGCACAGCGCTGTCTCCATCCACACCCACAGCGCCCAGAATGCTTCTGACCCCCTAGAGGGACACACACGCCCTGGAAGGGGAAGAGGAGGGGTCAGCAGAGGGTGAGGGAAAGACCTCTTTCCCCACCTACCTATGTGCATCCTCAAACCCGACCCAGAGCATCTGATTCCATAGCAGGGGAGAAAAGAACGGATCAAGGAAGATTCAGGGAGGTGTGGAGGGACAGGGTTGGGAGTGGCCCAAGAGCGCACAGCCAAGGGACAGATGAATGTGGAGATGGCCATGTGGGCTAAGAAAGCCCCCTTGCCCCACGCAGACCTCCTCCTTATTAAAGCCAAGAGGTCCTCATACTCAATCAAAAAAAAAAAAAAAGCTTTCATTGGGGCTTTACTAGTAATAGCAGCTAACATTTACTGAGCACATACTATGTGCCAGGCATGATTCTAAATGCGCTATGCATATTGACTCATTTTTCCCTCATGCCATCCTATACAACAGGTACTACAGCACCATCCCAATTTTAATTCTTTAAAAAAAATTTTTTTAATGTTTATTTATTTTCCAGAGAGAGCGAGAGAGAGCATGATCATGAGCATGAGCTGGGGAGGGGCAGACAGAGAGGGAGCCACAGAATCTGAAGCAGGCTCCAGGCTCTGAGCTGTCAACACAGAGCCTGACACGGGGCTCGAACCCATAAACTGTGAGATCACGACCTGAGCCGAAGTCCGTCGCTTAACTGACTGAGCCATCCAAGTGCCCCAATTCTTCTTCTTCTTCTTTTTTTAATGCTTATTTATTTTTGAGAGAGAGAATGCAAGCAGGGGAGGGGCAGAAAAACGCTTATTTGAGAGAGAGAAAGAGAGAGAGAGAGAGAAAGAGAGCACAAGCAGGGGAGGGGCAGAGAAAGAGAGAGAGAAGAGAGAGGGAGAGAGAGAGGAGAGAGAGACAGAGAGAGAAAGAGAGAGAGAGAGAGAGAGAGAGAGAGAGAGAGAGGAGAGAGAATGGGGATCCGAAGCAGGCTCCAGGCTCTGTGCTGACAGTGCAGAGCCTGATGCGAGGCCCAAACCCACGAACCGTGAGATCATGACTGGAGTTGAAGTCGGACGCTCAACCGACTGAGCCGCCCAGGCGCCCCCCTTCCAATTTCACAGGTAAGGAAACTCAGGCACAGAGGGGTTACGTGAATTTCCTGAGCTCACACGACTGGCCAAGGCCGGTACCAGGGCGGGAACTTCAGGCAGCCTGGGTTCCACAGCGCTTACCTACGGGGCTGTGCTGCCTTCGAATTTAATCCCGTGTCCTCTGGGGAAGGGTTTTCATTGATTACAGGGGATCAGTTACATGGGATCATTCACAGTCTCCAGCCTGGGACCTTTACTGTCTGCTGGTGGCTGTGGCTGTGGCTGTGGCATGGGAACAGGGAGGAATTCCGTAGATCTGGAATCAGATCTATCTGTTGGAGTCAGAGGCCCGGTACGTCTGAAACGTCACCAGTAACAGGACGGGCCCACACTTCTGTCTGTTTCAGAATATCTAAATGTTGCCTCTGCCCAAAAGTGCTCAAGGGGTGTTGATGGCAAGTCCGGAAGAGAAAAGACGAGTCACAGGGGGTAAACCTGGCAACCCGTGAGGCCCTAGAACCTCAGGGTGCAGACGCCGTGGTTTTTGCTTCATCCACGGGCTCAGAGCCACAGTGTCTCTCTCAGAGAAAGCCCCTCTGTTCTCTCAGATCTCCGGGCACGTACCATTCGGGAAGTCTGTCTTGGCCTGGAGTTTGAAACACTGTGACACATTTCATGTTCCTTGATGAGCAGCTTAAATATTAAAAAAAATTTTTTTAAAAAAGAGGAGCTCACGGGGCCTTCTCATGAGCCTCGACAGCCCATCTTCGTGTCTGGGCCCCTCCCAGGGGAGCAGCAAAGTGCCACCTGGCTATCTAGGAACAGGCAGGAGGGGCGAGTTCCAGCGTATTTAGGAGCCGGAAGTGAACAGCAGGCACAGGAAAGCGTTGCAACTCCGGGCGGTGCTGGCACCCACACACCCAAGGGCTTCGCGGTCACCTCCGTTAATACAGCGCTCACCCGTTTCCAATCTCCCGCAATATATTCTGAAAGGTGGTCGGAGGCTCTAGTCCCCATGGAAGGCTGTCAGTTTAGGTTACACATTAGAGAGCACTATGGGACCACGCTGTTTTCTCTTGTGCCCCAGAACGTGCCCAGTCCCACGACCCACGTGGGACTGTCTTCCTCAATCCTGTTTTTGCTAAGGAGTGATCTAAAGCTTTCTGTTACCACTTGACTGGACAAGCAGGAACGTGAAAGAGGCTCAGGAAACTTTCCAGGACTTTCTGGACTTTACAATGACCAGAGTAACGTATAGAAACTTCTATGTCAAGTCAGTTAAGGACAACTCCCCAGGTTAACAAGTTCCACCACAGTCCAACCCATAAAACCTTTGACTCTGACATCTGTTCCAGACTGTTTCCTGGGGCACAGGAGGGAGGGAGGAGGGTGTGTGTGTGTGTGTGTGTGTTCACAGCCATGTGTAAGGAGCCATTGTTGACAGGAGTCTCACAGTACCCCATTCAAGAAATAAAGCTCTTTCAGCCCCAAATCTACATCTACCTTTAAACTTTCTCTCAAGTCTGGGGCGCCTGGGTGGCTCAGTCGGTTGAGTGTCCAGCTCAGGTCATGATCTCAGTTTGTGAGTTTGAGCCCCACATCGGGCTCTGAGCTCCCAGCTGACAGAGATTCTCTCTCTCTCCCTCTCTCTCTGCCCCTCCCCAACTTGCACGCACACTCTCTCTCAAAATAAATAAATAAACAAACAAAATTTTAAAAATGAAACGGTCTCTCAAGTCCTGTCAGAGGCTTCCCTTATTACACTAAACCTCTTCTGAATACGGAGCTGAGCTGAAGTCACTGGCAGGGCCTGATGGACCTTCTGAAACCTAGAAAGCACTTCAAGAAAAGCCCGGGGCAACACCTGTCTAACTGACTCCCAGGGAGGTCAACAGCAGCATTCTTTGGGAGCTATCCCAAAGTTGGCCTTGTATCTCTGTGGAGGTGTCCCTCTGCCCAACTCCAGGGGGTACCATGCACGTAGACCAGAGTGCACACGGCACTCTGCAGGGTTGTGCACTGCGCGTTCTGCAAAGCTGTACGTGAAGGCCCTACCCTGACCCCAAATCTCTGCTGGGGAAGCGATATCGACAGCAGAACAGAATCTGTCTCTGTGCCAACATCCTAGATCACTCAAAGAATTGGGTCTGAAGCAGGCAGAAGCTGGAGGTGAAATCTTAAGAGCTTCTGCCCCGAAAGAAACCAGGAGAACAGGGGTCCTGGAATGAGACGGCCGCTCATGTGGAGGCTGCGGCTGTAAATCTCCACCTCAAGGTCAGGTGGGGGTGAGCAGCAAGCCTGTGGGTGAGCACGAACCTTCTCCTCCTCTTCCTTTCCGCTCCAGAAGAAAGGCTTCCCCACGGCACACAGGCTGAGGACAAATGTAAAGGGTCCCAAGCAGTTAAGACCCTGTGTGTGACCATCTGTGAATGACAAGGGCCCTGACCACGGCCGACATTCCAGGGAGAGGCATCGGCACGGATTCAGCTCCCAGGGGGAGCGGTCTTGGGCTGCCAGCCAAGGGCAGGGGGGCTCAGAGGGAGGTGGGTGGGGGGCAGTGATGAAGACGTGGGGGTCAAGCCCAACATTCAGTGTTCTCCACGCCCCCTTCGAAGAGCAGGCAGCAAGCACGTGTCAAAAGGTAGGAGAAACAGCTAAAGCAAGCAGAAAATAGCGGCCACTCGGGGCCCACGTAGTCACGTGGATGTCTGTGGCTTCCTGATGGCAGGTAGGCTTTGAGAGTAAACACGTCCGATTTAACTCCGAGTCCCCAGATGCTGTGTGCGCAGTTACCTTCACAACCCACACCGACTGAACTGATCTCAACCCACATACGGAGAGCGTCTTCACCACGGACATTGTCCGTGGGAGAGCTAGGTCGGGAGCGCTGACCGGTGAAAGAATCCTCCGTGGCTCCACGCCACTGACAAGAAATGGGAGGGGGGACCACTGCTGGCATTCGGGCAAGTCTTGTCTTTCCCATCCCAAAGAGTGGACGGTTCAAGACCACGTTATAAAACCTGATGCCGTGGGGTTAACGTCTCGGGCGAAATAAGAGACATCTCCTCCACTGAGAGAGGAGAGCCCACCCAGGACGCTACTGGGGAAACTGCGGATCAAGAGCTAACCGGGAGAGGGGACAGAGGTCTCCAGAGGAGAGCCAGTTTCTGAGAGAAGAGGAATCACAGGTATGACAACCCCAGTGATAAGTAGAAACAACAATCCTACAGTGTTTTCCAAAACCCAAGAGGGGAAACTGGGCAAATCCTGCAGGCGGCACTGAGCCCAGGAAGACACGTCACTCGGCACAGCCCCCCTTCCTACCTTTCCTGGGCCCTGAGGCATTTCATCTACCCCTCCAGAGGGTGACGACCCTTGGCTGCTTTCAGGGATCCTCCTCCCATCATGCTCCTCTCAGGACAAACTAGGTTTTCAACTTGTACTGCACCACAGCCATCGGACAACTTTTGTTTTTCCCTCTTAAAGCCCTCCTCCTTTAAGAACTATGGCACGCTGATGGAGCCATACTGGGAGCCAAGACAACCCCCCACTGCCCCCCACTCTGGCGCTTGGGCAAGACGCTACTGTCCCAGGAGTGGGCAGACTGGAGGGCTCTGAGGCCTGATTCAAGTTGGCAGGGAGCGTTCCCTTTGGGCAGACGAACACTCGACCCATCTCCACAGACTCTAGTTCCAAGAAAAACGAACACCTACATAGTTATCCCGCGCAGACCAGCCGGGGTACAGCTGCATGTGAAGCTGTCGCTCCTTCCGGGCCAGCTCGTAGTATTTCGCCTGCTCTTCTCTGGACAGCGCATGCCACTGGAGGGGACACAGAGGCGGGGAGAGGCATGCAAAACATCACAAATTACACCGCGGCCGGGGATGAGAAACGGGTCTGATCTGCAGGGTCCTGGCACTAACGGGAACTCTGAAACGAAACCTGATGGGTCATCTCTCTCGTTCTCTCTGTGCTCTCTCTGGGGCTGGGGGAGGATGAAGGCGGTGGGTGTTCAGAAGATCCTTCGAATGTGGGTTTCTGGTCCTGACTCCATGAAGACCACTGAAGGAGTCAGAACGTGGCTGAAGGGACGGGGACGCTGTGTCATGCTACCCACCAGGCCCCGGTCCATTCGTCCCCCTCTGCCCAGCGAGGGAACTACCTACCCTTCGCCCCAGGATCTGGTTGATGGCGGCACTTTCTTTCAACGTGCACTCGGCCACGACCTTGGCCCTCATTTCCTTCATATACAACATGAACGCGTTAAGAGGTTTCTTTATGTGGGGCTTCTTCTTTTCTTCTTCCTTTTTGGAGTCCTGATGCTTTCTGGATACAGACAGAATAGACAGACACAACCCAGTAAACGATCGCAAAGCCCAACTTCCTCCACAGCAGAGAACCCGTCTCCCTGTCTGCTCAACGCCCAAACCCAGCAGTCCTGAACGAGAAGCACGCTTCCACTTTTTAGTCTTCTCCACCCTGGAAAACGGAACGAAAACATCCTAGCGAGGGTGTGGGGGGAAGAGAGAGATTTCGTAACTACTTCCTCAAGTGTCTCAGACACACAATTTTCCCAAGGCAGAGGGGAAGGCACAGCGTGGCCGATTCGCTCCCGACGGGGGTTTCTCGTGCTCTCAGGCCGGGCCTCTCAACGTTCCGTGGTGGGTGAGAGACGGGGACGTGGTTGCGAACCCCAGGCCGCCCAAGCACGCAAGTACACCCACACTGGTGCCAACCGTGAGCGCTGTGCTCTCTCAGAGTCCAGAGGCCACCCAAGTCGGGTGTTTCCCAGGGGCACACGCTCCATTGGCTAACCATGGGCCGGGCTACCACCCAATGGCCACCGCGTCAACAAATGGGCTAGACAAGATGGGGAATGAAAGAGCGGCCGAAAGATCAACAACACTCACGAGCTATGGAGTGAGCCGACGTCACTCTGGGAGGATTCCTGTTTGACGGTTGGCGTTACTATGGCCGGGTGGGGGATGCCGGTCGTGTGTAGAGTGTGATGTGGTGGGACCATATGGGGAGGGAACCTGGAAGACAGGAAGCTGTGTAAATCGTCAGAATCAAAATGAATGAATGGGGAGGGATGTGTACACATAATTAAAAAAAAAACAAAAAAAACCCAGCACGTAACACTCACATGAAAGCAACCCAAGGCATATGAAACCTGTCAGCATTAATTAGCGATAAATTAAACATAATGATTCTCATAATGTCATTAAAGCTAATCTTCCCCTTCATTATTGCTACTGACAAGAGACATTATGATTTTTAACATCTTCAGCGAAAGACAAATATAACGGATGTACTTGGGCGGAAAAGGAGGCTTAGACTACCTGCTGGAAATCACACGTGTACTTGTTTTTTGAGGCATTATTAGTGGCATCTAAGAAGACAATCTCCTAAGTCCTAATCAGCTCTAGAATGAAAGGTGAAATCTATTGTTGAATATTGACAGCTAAATAAAATATTAACGTGGTCCAAGTATACACACATTTTTGACAATGCTGCGCAGGCCTCATTAGGGCCTCGTTCTGTGGATGGAGTGCAATAAAATTTTTCTTTTTCTTTTGCCGATGTGCCTCCATCGTTTTGACAGGAGTGAGAGAAAGTGAGGCAGAGAGACGGGGAAAATCCAAATATTTCCCATCTGGTTCTCATCGTAAGTCACAGACATTTTAAATAATTAGCTTGTATCCTCTTAGGGAAAGATGCAAAACAAAACAAACAAAAAAACAAAAACAAAAAACAACAACAAAAAAAGAAAAATCTGTATTGTATACACACATACAAATGAAGCTTTGAATTCTGATTTGTATACCCTTTCCCGCACTAAAATTCTAGGATTCCTAAATTACTTTTACGTAATAGACTGCCTATGCATTCAAAGGCCTTCCAAATGACTATCAAAATTGTAAATATACGCATAAAGGTTGTTTTCTCCTCTAAAACTGTCCATTTTTAAGAAAGTTCTTTGAAATCCTCCCTAGGCCCTGAACTGGCATTTCCCTACAGTATAGACTAGCCAGAACATAAAGAGCTAATTAAAAAAAATTTTTTTTCAATGTTTATTTATTTTTGAGACAGAGGGAGACAGAGCATGAACGGGGGAGGGTCAGAGACAGAGGGAGACACAGAATCCGAAACAGGCTCCAGGCTCTGAGCCGTCAGCACAGAGCCCGACGCGGGGCTCGAACTCACGCACCGCGAGATCGTGACCTGAGCCGAAGTCGGACGCTCAACCGACTGAGCCTCCCAGGCGCCCCATGTGCTAACTGTAAAATGTTCATCTTGGCCCATCTGTGAACTAACAACTGGATCAAACAGCTTTCACATTTTCTGATATGCTTGGGTTACAAGAACCACCCTTTTTAAAAGAATACTACCACAGAGAATAGTAGGGTGAGGGGCACAGGGGTAGAACCCTGAACGAAACCAAAATGGCTGCCTCCAGGCTCCAATCCAGGTTATCCAGATTATACACGTGAGCAAGCCGGGTGCTATTCAGGTGAAGGAGAACCCGGGTCAAGCAGTTGATGCTTTCTGAATAAACCCAAGCCAGAACAGTTCACGCACCATCCGGAGAACGGACGCCTGCTCCCTAGGCAGCCAAGTGCGGTGGCACCTGGCAGTGGTAACAAGGGTTTATCAAGGTGGGATTTCAAGAGGATCCTAGATTTACAAGGGGCTTTTCATATGTGGACTGGAGATGAACCCAGTTTCTGTTTAATCCAAATAATGCAGCAAATGTTAGTGTGCAAAAGGGTAAAACAAAAAAATTAAAGTACTAACTGAATCTTCGTCGATCAATAGAGAAAATGCCAGTGAATGATGTAGATTTTTGAAGGGGCTCAGAATCACAGAGGACATTTGACTCAGAAATTCCATCCTGATGTGGCCCTCTCCTGCCACTGCCTTTACAAATGGAAGCCAGTGTCAGAGTTTGGCAACAATGACGTGATTTTTTAATAAGAACCATGTATAGATCCTTTAGGGTATAAAAAGGGGGGGGGGGAGAAAAACTCTGAGTGAGAGAGAGAGAGAGAGAGAGAGAGAGAGAGAGAGAGAAACAAAAAAGCCAAACAATCTCCATTCCCTTTCTGTGAAAAAATGAAAAGCAAACCCTCGGGAGGCACTTGGGCTCCTATGTTACACCCTGTTCCTTCCCACTGCGCAAGGGCCTCTGAGGAAACATAAGTTAAGAACATGTGTTCTTGGAAGCCCTTGGGTGAAGTGGTGGGTAGAGTGGCAGCTTTTACTGTGAATTTTAAAGGCTTGACATTCCTCAAATACATATGTTCTCTTCTTGCTGAATGAGAATATGTGTACAGACATATGAGAGAGAGAGAGAAACAGAGGAGGTGGGGAGAGAGGGAGAGAGACAGAGAAGGGGGAGGGTGGGGAGAGAGATAGAAAGGGTGAGAGAAGGGAGAGAGAGAAAATACTGTGTGTGTGCGTGCGCGTGTGTGCGTGTGCGTGTGTGTCCACAGCAAACACCACAGGCAGATACCACAGTTCGAGCACATTCTGGGGTGGGGCAAAATTTCCGACGCGGCCATGAGGAACGAATGCTTCCAAGTTCACATGCCTACACACATACTCATATATCTGAAAAATGCATAGCGGAGAAAGAAACGGGGCGGTGGGGCAGCGGGGGTGGGGGGATCTATATGCATACCTTTGCTTAAGAAATTCCTTTCTGCAGACAACTATTTCATGAAATGCAATAAACACCCTAAAAATTCTAAGCAGCTCATTATATACCCCCGTCTGCTTTTATGGCTCCAAGCCAGAATATAATGATGAACCTTAACTTGTTAAGGACAACTAATTTTTGTTTCTGGCTGTCTCAGGGGCTCCTCTCTTGCTCGCGCTCACTTCACTTCACTGTTGACACGTTTCTGTTAACTGGATGTCATCTGCCGGCCTTGATTTTATGCACAAGCAGTGGGATGCATTTTCCTGTGCAACAATCCTGCTTTGAGTTGCATTAGGTTTGTCATTATTCTCTCATTTTCCCCCTTGCACTTGTAACATTTCATCTCTTCCTGCCTTATTTTTTGTGAGCCACGGTGCACCCACATTATGGTTTATACATGATCTCTCTCCCTTTGAAGCCGGCAGATTTCAGAGCCCGCTCTCGTCAGGAGAAGAGCCTTGCACCAATTTAGCGGGCTGAGGGCCCGGAGCTCCAACATCTCAATCTAAAGGGGGTCACAGGGTGGCACAAGTGAGTGTCAGCAAGAGCTGTTTAATTGCCAATCTAGGCTTCTCCATGGTGTTTAAAGTATAATGACCCATCACTTAATTCTGAGAAGTCCTGGCCCCGCTGCTGAATAGAATGAATATCAAAGGGTGTTCTGGAACAGGGCAAGCTGCCTACGTTTCCTATAACTGCCATAAGTATAATAGACCTATACTTCTGTCGCCCCATTACCACAATAATGTATTTAATTTGCTGTATACGCTTTTTAACTAGCTACCTTTCATAAGGCCTACCTGGGGAATCGGCGGCCTCCCCCCTGCACCTTGAGCCCCTAACCTTTCCTCCCACTGTTTCCTTCCTTTCCTCTACCCCCCTGCCCACCTCTAAATCATCGACTAACCTCCTAATGATAATTCAATCGATAAGCTTAACCCCAATCCCTATCCTCCGATTATTTCACTGCTTTTAGCCTCTAGAACGCACCGAATAAACAAACATGAAAAACAATCAGGTGCGCGGTGTAAATGCTGGTTTGCCGGGAAGATGAGCTGTGGATTAGGGGCCGCTCAGAAGCAGTTCTCCTCCTGGGAGACTCCCTATTCGTTCCCATGCTTTTTGCAAGGTTGTGATGACATTATTTAATGAATATAACCTTCCTCCTCTCGCTGGAGAAGAGAACACACAAGCATTTTCCCGCCTCACCAATGCTGGTGTGGATTTTGAAACGGAGATCGTTTATCACACTTGGGAAGTGGGATCTTTAAAATTACGTGATCTCCGTGGTGTAATGACAAATGTTAGGTGGGCTCTACGGCCTGTTTTTCTTAAACGAAAGTGATCCTTACTCTCCACCCCCCCCCCCCCCCCCCCCCCCCACCAGAAATCACGGTCTTGTAAGCAGGAAAAGGAGCTGTCTTGTCCTGTCTCCCCAGTCCCTTCCTCTGGCCTTGGGTTCCCATGCTGACTCCAGAGACTGGGGGAAGATGCTAGGGCAGCATCCTTGCCATGTAATGCATGCTAATTTAATTATGGGCCATCATCAAAATGGATTACTTGTTGCAGCCCATCAGGAAAGTCTAAACCTCCACCGATTTAATTAACTTGACTGAAAATCAGATGAACAGAAAATAAAACTATCATTAGGAGCAATTAGTGACTACTTAAACATACTGCTGCCAACCGGTTTGTAAATAAACTAGCACTCACTGAAAAATTAGCCAGAATTAATTAGAGGGAGGAAAAGGAGAACAGGGGATCCGAAAGATCTAGGTACACATGTGTGGGTATATGTGTGTGTGTGTTACACACATATGGATAGCCTTAAAAAGATACGAATGCACACACACACACACGACTTTTCTTTTTTTTAACAGAAGAATTCACCATTTATATCCAAGTACACGTGGCAAAACATCTCATACCAAGTATGGGAAGTCGGTGTGGAGGTTGTTAAGCCACAATATTTGAATTAGAAGTTGAAGATGGTCCCTTCTTAAGGAGAGTAAACATCGTTCTGTCCTTTGTCAGGGTGTAGGAATTCTTTGCTGGTTATTTGATGGGTTCTCTTCAAATTCTTGCTCTGCACACACGTGATTTTTTTTTGTTTTTTTTTAACTTTCCAAAATTTAGAGCTACACAGGCCAATATGGTAGGCACCAGCCACACGTGGCTTTTGAGTACTTGAAACGTGGCCGGTCCAAATTGAGTTGTGCTGTTCAGTGCAAACTACGTATCAGATTTCAAAAACGAAGTACAAACCAGAACGTAACATCTCTTTAGTAGCTGCTTTACAGTGATAACATGTCCAAATGATAATGTTTTGACAATATTAGGCTGAACAAAATACATCATTAGAAAGAATTTCACCTGGGGTTTTTTTAATCCCCCCCCCCCCCCCTTTAACCTTTTAAAAACTGTGGCTACTAAAATCTTAAAATTCCATACGGGACTCACCTTACAATTCTACACGACAGTGCTGCTTTAGAGAGGGCTGTGTTTGGGCAGGGGTGTCCCTGCTTGTGGACAGTGAAGAGTCTGGATTTTGAAAAGGGCACACCCTTCCTCAAACTGTCCTTTACACAATAATAAAATGACCCTCACCCTTCCCTTTCTTACCCAGCATGGGGCAACAGAGGAACGACACTTCCGTAAGTTCCGCGAGGTCCTATCTATGTCTTCTGGCCTTCTTAAATTCTTAAGGAAAAACCGCTCCATTGATGGAGTCCGAGATTCGACCTCGAGACTTCAACATCACCTACCTCACAAGTCCAGGTTAATTTCTCAGTACTTCCTAGGAATAAAGCCCAACGCGCCCTTTGGGTCTTACACCACTGGAACTACACGAAGGAGCCGCCCCCGGATGGCCTGGTAGCTAGCCAGAGAACTTTCCGAGAAGTCACCCATGGTCGACTTGGTCGGAGGCGCCCGTTCTTGGAACTCACCTAGACATGGAGGCGTTGACAGTCAGAGCCGTGGGGTAGGGGTGACGGAATCCTCCTGTCGTGATTGGGTACACGGGCTGACCTTGCCTATAAAGAGGGGGGCACAAAGTAAGAGTGCAAACAAGGGGGGGAGGGGGAAAGAAAAAGAAGAAAAAGGGAAAGTTCTCTCTGCACAGTAAGCTTTATTCTCATTTGATCAGAACAAAAATCTTGGGGATTGTACAGGAAGGATCAAAGGGAAGAAACACAGAACAATTTGAATGCCATAAATCTGATAGGAATGGCTAATTAAATTTTATAACCTCTGCTTATGTCAATAGAGACCCTCTCCCCAAGCTGAAACTAGGTGTTTTGTTGTAATAATTAAAGGCGAAGTCTCGCTTGCTTTAATGGAGCCATCACACTAATTGAGGGCTACACATCCAAAGGAAAACAATAATGAATGTAAATTTATACCAAAATAAAGTACAGTGAATCAAAGGACTTCAGTTGCGCTTTGGGCCTCTTTCGGTATTTAGATCTCGGTGAGAAAACATTAAATTAACAGAGCTTAATTTGTAGCCTTTTGTCAAATTAACAAGTGTTGACAAGAGTTACCGGGGGGAGAGTCCCCAAGAAGAATTGTGGGTAACCAATAGACAATCACACCTCATTACAATAATTAAAAAATACAGCAACATGCAAAATAGCATCCTCATGAAAGACACACAACTTTTTCTGACAGAGGGTTGTCTGAGTTGGCTATTCCTTTTTATCTAGCCTTCAAATATCTCCCCATCAGCGGAACGGGGCAACCGATGACAGAGAACTATTGGAGGAATGGCCCCATTTTCCGAGAAAGAAACGGGACACAAACTCACGTCCATGTCTACCCTGCGAAACAAAACGAAGGAGAAAGAAAGAAACAGGAAGTACAGCCATGGTTGGTATTTGGTATGGCTACCACCTCATACAAGCTACTTTTCACACAGCAGGGCAGTGTCTGTTCAACTAGAGAAAAAAGGGTAGACTGGGGCGAGGGGCAGGAGGGGGGGAGGTAACTACATCAGAACTTTGAAAGGGCATCTTCCCCAAGACCCAAAGTTCAGAGTTTTACCAGGAGGTATTCTGGTTAAGACAACAAATCGTCCTTGCTTTCTAGAGTGGAGATCACTGATAAACATGGAGAAACACATACACAAAAACACAATCACGAAACAGAGACCACATGCGCGCACACACGCACGCGCGCGCGCGCGCGCGCGCGCCCAATATGCTTATGCATTAAAGGCCTTTCTACTCTGGTTTTGAAACACACATTTTGAAAAGTTGTCTAAGGAAGGTTAATGGATGGTACTATAAAAGCAAGACTGGGTGATAGGAAGACCAATCGTAAAAGGCAGTTTGCAGACCTGCACGCCGCCAGGAACCCCGGCTGACACTCAGGAAGGCCCCACATGCTGGAGTGGGGATTCCAGACCCTCCTCCCCCCACCCCCCAGCCCCTCATAATCAGGTGAACCAAGAACCCCAGGGAGACCCTAGCTGGATACTGGAACTTCTCAACAGACAGACCTTTCCACTCTTACTGCCAGCCTTGGGAGTAAAGGTCGGGATGGTGTTGGGGTTTAGGGGTTTCTGAGAGGATAACCCTCCACTCTCACCCCTGGATTCCAAAATCACGCTATGCCTGTTTCCATTCTCGTGTCGCCTCAAACCAATGAATGACAGGACTCCACTGTGGGCTGCCACCGGCAGAAGTGCCATGATCAGCTTCCTTTGATAGAAGCCCTCAGAGCCTTTTGCAATTCCCCAAGTGCCTTAAGGGCACCTTTGTTCACAGAGAGAAGCCTAGAGTCTTTGGGGGCTGTGGGTTCAGAATGCTAAGTATCAATGACCTTTCTCCTACAAAACCCACCTGAATGGCTCCTGACTCACCTGCTTCCCCACAGGGCACCTCAAGGAGCATCTTTGCAACATATCCCACTGCGGCCCTCCCTCACCAACCCGTCTTCTGAGACACACGCACACACATACACACGCACAGAATAAATAATAAGCATGCCCATGTAAGAAACAAAAAGGGAATTAAAAAAATGGAACTCCTTACTGTGGTACTAACCATCCTAGCGGATGGGGGATTTGTCCTACGGTGCCGGGCGATAGTGGGTAATACGGAGATATATCTGGAGGGTGCGGAGGCCGTGGGATTCCTGAGAGAAGAAGCAGCATTTTAGGTACGAAGGAGAAGAGAAGGAAAAAGAAACTGTCAGGGGATGGGAACAGGGAAGGGACGACGGACACATCTCTTCTGTAACGCTAGCATGAGTCTTTTCGGGACTGTGATCGTTAAGAGTTGTGGCTAACTTTCATTCATTATCTTTCCCCGCCCTACCTTGAAAACTTGGTTTATCTCATCCTAGATGGATGGGTACGCTGGGTAAATGCAGACTCAGAAAATGCCATCTTGCATATTTCTGCCTTATGTGATCAGTGTTGATTACTGAAACTAAAAAAACAAATCTGACGGGCTTGGCACATAGTAGGTGATCAAGTCATATAAATTCTCTTTGCCCTCCCAACTTGTGCCTTCACTCCTTTTAATTCTAATGACTTGCCTGCACGAGAGTTACTCCCCTAGGTTTCTAACATACCTTTTAAGTTACGGCCTTTGGAAAGGTTACTCTTGTCTTCTTTCAAAAAAGTTAACTCCCCTAGAATGTCTCCGACCTCAGCTTAGAGGATGAGCTCTGGGAGAAACTCACCACGAGCCACGGCCTCTTCTCCAGGGTAGAATCTGAACTGAAAGGACCAGCGGATGCTGGAGACCTGGCAGGCTCGACTCTAGAACCTAATTCTCTCGAGGGCAGAGGCACCTGGGAGAATCGGCCCTACCTGACCAGGTGCTGCCGCATCGTGAGCACTAACAAGGCTCTCGAGGCACATCTGGGCACATCCCGAGGCCCGTGCCCCACTGCACGCTTACGTACGCCGCAGGCGCACATCCTGCCATCGATTCGGGGGAAAGCTAGAGCGCTAGAATCAATTCCGACAGAGGAACTTGATCTATGCAGCAGAAGTGGGAAGAAAACGAACAATGCTATTGAAGGTAGTAAGCTGCATGTCCGTGGATGAAAACTATTCCATTTTTTTTTTTTTTTTTAATTCATTCAGGAAGCTTTTAATCTGTAAGTTAAGTCTCCCTGGGTGACATTTTCATGCAGACATTGCTTTCTCTCTATTACAAAAACCAAACAGATTAGCTGGTCTTGGACCCTACACCAAGCCATTTGCACACTTGAAAGAATGTTCGCAGAGGAAAAGTAAACAGTCTGCAGACGTTAATCATATGTTTTACGATAACCATTTAAAAGCTATTCCCTGTACTGCCATTATTTAAATGAGACGTTGATGCTGCTATTCACTCACAGAGCCTGGGGCCGGCTGGCGGCCTCCTCCAGCCATCCAAGTACTAGGCGAGGTCCCCCATGAGCACAAAGGGGGCTCAGAGGCTGGCGAACACCAGCTAACGTGTGGCTTCGTTTGGCGGCGGCAAAGGCAGCATGAATGGGCAATCCACCTCAGCTCAACACCGAACAATCCCCTCTGACCAGATGACACGGGATAACAGCCATTTAAAATTCATCCTTCTAATTAACTAGCTGGTTAGAAGAACCCTACCCAGTGCACCGCCCAGCCTGTCCTGGCCTCAGCTGTTCTCCCACGGCCACCCCGCCACGAGCTGTGGCCGGCTGCTGGTTTCAAATCTTGTTACGGGGAGGGTGGCCAGTGACCCTGCCCTCTCTGTTTCCCTCTTTGGGGGAAAAAGCAGCCCATGTGTATGTGGGATGGAAAGGAGGGGAAAAGCGCCAAGGCTGACGGATGACGTGACACCTTCTGCCTGAGACTGGGCGGGTTGTTCCATGCTGCAATGAGGAAAAACACGGACTCCAGTTTTCACATCTGTATAATGGGCTCGATGATACCCAGGATATCGCAGGGGACGAAGAACCCAAATAAACCAGCAAAGAGAACGCGGGATCCAGTGATGCGGTCTCCTCCGGCTGCAGCAATAAGTCATTGTCAGGTGACTGGAGTCCCTTGACCGCCAGGGGAACTAGGGCTTTGGGGAGCCATGCTGCTGGGGCTCCTGTGCTCCCAAGAAGCTGAGAAGGAGGCCATGGGATGCCTCCACAACTACTCCTGCCTCCAAGTCTGTTTGAGGCTCTCGGAGTTCGTTACAAGCTACTCCTGGAAAACACTGCATGATTCATAGCCAGCCCTTCCTGGGGCATTCTGGGCTCTAGAAAGATGGTTAGCACTCCACACAGGAGAGGCTACTCCCTCACCAGGCTCTGGTCTCCCCAAAGAGCTTCTTTTCCGCACCCCAGGAGGGGAAATGAGGAGCCCCTCCGCCACGGCCCACAGCCCATCCCGAACTCCCCCGTCCCTTCCCAGCAGGCCAGGCGGCCCCGGACCCCGCACGCCCTGTTGGCATCGCACACACCGCCTACCTGTTTTGGGGTCTACGTCGGCTGGTAAGTGTGGAGGTGGGTTTCCCGGGGTGAAGTGTTCGTTGCTGTACGTGATGAGCGGCGTGAGAGGGTGGACATGGTGAGGGTGTTGCACAACCGGTACTTTGTTCGACTGTGGGGAGAACAGGAGGCCAACGTTACGCTGGTTCCTGGCGGCTCGACACTGGGGGACACAGGACCCGTGGGCTCCCTGGACCCCGCCCTCCCTCCTGGACTTTGTAAGATGCACTCAATTCCGCCCGCAGCCCTGGCCCCAATCCGTGCATTAAAAATAACAGATATTTGTAAAGACAGCTCTCTGGGCAGGCGTGCTTCTGTTTTGACCTCCCTACGGAGCCTGGCTTTTAAAATGCCTCCTCCACAGCCACCCCGTCACGGACCCCAAGTGTGCACCTTCCCAGTCGGCAGGTAAATCGGCAATGGGGGTTTAATCTCCCAGGCCTACTGGGTTCCCGCAGGTGGTGGTGGGGGGGGGGGGGGGGGGGGGGGAGGAATCTCTGACCCCAGGACCCCACCGGAGGGACCTTCAGGAGGCAGGCAAGGCTTCCCAGGGGACCAGCTAGGAAAACCTTCCGTTACAAGAAACGTGGCAGGGCCCAATTCCCACCCACTCGGCCTCCCCTATCCACCACCCCACGCTCCTAACATCCCCCTGCCCCTGGGAGCCAGCGGGCATGCTACAATCCTTTACAGACAGCATGGATGAAAAGCCCCACTCCTGGTCTGGTTGGGAGTGTGAACTTTACCAGAAAGCCCTACACTGGCAGGCGAGCACCTGCATATTTTATGCAGATTACAGCAGCCCTGATTCATTAGGAATTTCATTAGGAAGTCATTGGGGAACGCTAATAAATTAACTGGACGATGATAAATTGGGCTAATAAAAGGTGTGCAGATTAGAAACGGGCAGTTCTAGAAAACAAAGTACAGGCATTTTTATGTTCAAGAAGGGTGGACAGGTAGACAGAAACAGGAAAAAAAGAAAAGCATTTGTTAAGATCTTTCCAGTTGCCATGACCAGACCTTCCTGAATTCTTCTCCTCTTTCCCCCCAGCCCCTCTCTCAGCCCACCCCACCCCCTCCGCTCTGCTGTGCTATAACTTAGCCCAGCAAGATCACAAAGAAAAAATTAAGCTGAAACAAGCGAACTACTGGGCCATTTACTGAGAGTAATCCAATTGCAAAAAAACCCTATTCCCCATAGAGGATTTTCACTAAAATCCTACAACAGGGACATTTAACCAGATTAGGTACCAGCGAAGATAAAGAGGCGAGTATTAGATGATGAATGGATTAGAGTCAAGTTTCATTTCAGAACGTGTCTTCATTTCCTTTTATTACTTTTAGGAAGGCACAACTTGCATTAACATCAAGGAAAAGGAATTGCATTAAAAGAAAAGAAGTAAGGTTCCAGTGCTGCCCACTAGTGCCTCTCGAGTTCAGGGACCACGGAGCAGTTCGTTCGCCGTGCATTTTTCTTCTTGTCCTTTTTTTTTTTTTTTTAATGAATAAGGAAGGGGTATACTATAGAAAGAGTATTTCTCACAATTAATTGCGGGGAAGGCATTGGTAAAAGGTACTCCTAACTTTTTTCAGAAGCATGTTTGGAAAGGAAAATATGGCCTTCTTAGATGCTCCAGAAAAAACTACAGAGAAAGAAGTCAACACTTAAAACAGCTTGGTTTAACGATTCCCATAAACAAGTGGACACATTCAGAGGTGGCTAGCTGGTTGCTCAAAGAGCCTTATGTTGTGAATTACCAGTTCGCAATCAAAGCACTGAAATTAAAAAGCACCAAAGCAGAGGGAGTTTTGGTTAACACCTCCCTAGCAGCCATGAAGGTCTGAACAAGGCCACAGCCAGCGGCGTGAGGGGCTGCTGCCCGAAGGCCAAAGCCAGCATCTTATGAACATGCACTGAGGATTATTTGGGGGGAACATTTCTGTTCAGGACAGATTGAAAGGTAACCAGCAAATGAACTCTCACTGTGGGCTGGGGTGGAGAGGGGAAAGAGGAAAGGAGAGGGAGGGAGAAGACGGGGCAGACACAGCTGGAGGGAGGGAAGACCACTTTCCTTTGAAAGTGACTATTGCCACCTTCCAGAAGTTTTTTGTTTGGTGGGAAAGATACACACCTGCTGCAATGAAAAAAGGCAGATCGATCCCAGACAGTTTAAAGTAAGTGTGGGTAAAACTAGGAGATGAGTAGGAAGAACCAGAGGTAACCCAAAGCGGGGAAGATGGTCACTTGGAGGTTGAATGACTTCTGGGCAGCGGGACCACCATAAGCAATGGAAGGAAGCACGGGATGGGAGTAGAAGGGCTGGTGGTTGACAGTGGGACCTACAGTTCTCAGCTCTGGTTGAGTCAAGCATCTCTCAGGACACTTGTCACAAATCTGGATGGCCAATCTTAGGAAATCTCTCAGCAGGAACCGGATTCAGTAGATCTGGGCTCAGGACCCAGGCATCCAGTCGGCCTCCTGAGGACCTCACGTGGCAGCTCTACCTGTTCAGCCATGAACCCCTAGACCAGAGAACCACGTGGCCACAGACAAGTGCCAAGGTTAAGAGACCTGGGGTCCTAATCACCAATCAAGTCCTAGTTCTTACGAAAGTCCACAGGAAGAGCTTACCACAGAACCTACCACATGGTGAGCACAGGAATGGTGGTTTATTATTGTTACTTATTAGTTTATTGTTAGGGAGAAGTGGCCCATGGCATGCGTCTGTCTACAGCTCAGAAGCACCAATTCCATGGCTGCCTTCCAAGAAGGACTAACAGGAAATGCAGAGAAAACCTTTCTCTACTTCTCTAGCAAAAGACGAAGACAGAATCTGGGTGACAGGAGAGCTGAGTGTAGGACGTGAAAGTTCATTTTCCCTCTTCCTCTTAGAAATATGTATGAAGGTTGGACACCATTGCCTTCATGTTACTTTGCACCCTTGAGCTTGGCCAATGGGTTAGTTTCCTGTCAAGATTCACTAGCACGGAAGGGGGTGGACCCCGAGCTGCTGCTACCCAGCCTTAGGAGAGGAAGGCAAATGGGAGCCCTAGCATGACGTGGTTCTCTCTTCTCATCGTGACTGTATGCCAGGTTGGTCCCTAGGAAACCACGCGTCTCTGCAGGTTGACCAGCTCCCAAGCAAGCAGGGGAAGGAATAAAGTCATACCTACAGAAACCAGGGTCTACTCACCATTCTCATATGACCTGCCTACACCTGGACTGCTGTTGTGAATGGAAGTATGTTCTTCTTGAAGATGCCCTGTCTCTCCAGTCTCAGAACCCCACAGCCCTTTCTTTCTATGTCACATCATGCCCATGCTAGAGCCACATATGTACCTCTCTTGGTCCCGCTGTAGCTACGTTCCTTAATGACAAAGACTGTGCCTTCTAGAACTCTGTGTCTCCTGTCACGCCCAGCCTGTGGAGTGGCGAGACTCCTAAGTTGCAGAAGAACAACTGAGTTGCAACCGTAAACATCAGAAGAAGAGAAGGCCAGGACCAATTTCACAGATTCATTGACTAAAACGGCATCTACTCAGAATCGTAGAACTAAGCTAGACAGGCCTTCAGAAACGGGCTAGTCTTATACTTTATAAGAAGAGTGCCTTAAAAATGGTTTTAGAGCCCCCTGGCATGCACCACGGTGACCATGAGTGCCTGCATGCACGGTGGCCAAGAGTGAAGGCTATGAATTCAAGCAAGACCCAGGTCGAAATTCTACTTGACCCCTCTAGCTGTACAATCTCTCTTAGGCCGTTGTCCTGTCTCTCCAAACCCTAGATGGGAACGGGCTCGACCTCAGAGTGTGCTGTGAAAATTAAGGCCCATGCCTATACAGCGACCAACAACAGGCCTGTACAAAAAGCTTTGGGAAAATACTGTCCAGCGAGTACTACTGATGAGGGCACACTGAAGGTGGTGTTGGCTACCCTTCCAGTATCTTCTAATCGGATTCCCAGAGGGGAAATGCATCCACAGACTGCGCTCCTTATTTCAAAGGCAAGATGTTCATTATGAGGCAAGGGCGTATGGGTGTTTTCTGGCCAACGTTCTGTCAGGCGAAACGCCCTTCTTAAAAATGTGGTATTCAATTAATAAACATATTTGTTATCTCTTTTGAGAAAAACCATTACTCTATCATGCTAATAAATAAGAATGCCTACAGAAGAGCTGAAAGTTAAATAAAAAGAGCTGGAGATGACCAAGGGCATTCCAGAATCAGGGTGAGGGCCTTGAAGTCAGAGTTCGTATCAATCAAACACCAACCGACCCAAACAGAAAATGTCCCTTAGACTTTCCCCTCCCCCTGTGATCAGAGCTCACTTTAAAAAAAAAAAAAAATTTAAGTTTATTTATTTATTTTGAGAGAGACAGAGATAGCATGCGTGGGGGAGGGGCTGCGAGAGCCGGAGAGAGAGAGAGAATCCCAAGCAGGTTCTGTGCTGCCAGCACAGAGCCCAATGCAGGGCTCGAACCCACAGAGCTGTGAGATCGTGACCTGAGCCAAAACCAAAAGTTGGACGCCTGATCGACTCAGACACCTGGGCGCTACAGCTCCCACTTCCATAAAGAGGTCTTTAAGGATTGTGCTCAAAAATGTCACCACCCTAAGAAAATTCAAACGTGAAAAGTACCTTTCTTAGGGGAAGGACACAGACAACCTTCCCGAAATGCAACAATCTATGCTGGGGGTGTTAGTGGATAAAGAGCCCACGAAATATGCGTCTGTCCCCCTTTTATCTCTTTATAGACCGAGTCCGCTATTCAACGCAAACAACTGCAACATGAAATCAGGTACTTTTTAGGTAGCTACTTTATCTAAATGTGAGGTATGTCTTCAAAACTACCTCGAGGGGTGGGGTGCCTGGGTGGCTCAGTCGACTGAGCGTCCAACTCATGATTTTGGCTCAGGTCATGATCCCAGGGTCATGGGATCAAGCCCCACATTGGACTCTTAAGATTCTCTCTCTCTCTCTCTCTCTCT